ATATTGTCTAACTGACCTGAAACTCTCAATGTAGACCCAAGCTGGCCTCAAACTCACATAGGTCCACCTCTGCTTTCCTGGTGCTGGCAGCAAAGATGCGCGCCACCATGCCCTGCTGCATTGTTTTTATTAGCATGTATTATACACAATAATGGATCTCATGCATGTGTATCATGTATTTTCACCATAGTCAACCCCCAACCCTCTCTCTCTTGTCCCTGTCATTCCCACTGATCCCTTACTCTTCCCAGGTGGCCCCCCTTCCACTTTCAGACCTTTTTTCTTTTGGTGACTCATTGAATTATTAGCATTATTTATAGGTGCATTGGAGGTGACTAGTGGCTGTGCCCCTGAAGAAAGCCTCTGCCTCTCCCCAGCAGCTATTAGTTGGCCCAGTGAGCCCCTCCCCCATGGCGATGGAATTCTGACAGAGCCCATCTCCACTGCCTTCCTTTATGATGTTAACATTCTATTGTGGAGAGGGGATAGTGCCTTAGAGCACTTGTTGCTCACGCAGAGGACCTGGGTTCAGTTCCCAGCACCCACTTAGCAGCTTACAACCACACTTAGCTCCAGTTCCAGGAGCCCCAGCGCCCTCTTCTGGCCTCTGTGGGTACCAACCACATATATGGTCCAGATCTGCATGCAGGCAAAACACACATAAAATAAAACGAATAGATTTTAAAAATAAAAACTAAATAACTTCATTTGTGGGTCAGGTGTGGAGCACACTCTTAACTATAGCATTTGGGAGGTGGAGAAAAGGTATATTTCTGTGAGTTAGAGGGCGTCCAGGATTACAAAGAGAGGCCTGTCTTAGGAGTTCTGCTGTGAAGGGACACTGTGGCCACGAACTCGTGTGAAGGAAAACATTTAATGGGGTGGTTTAGTGTTCACAGGTTTAGTCCATTATCATTATGGTAGACACGGTGCTGGAGAAGGAGCTGAGAGTTGTACATCTTGATCCACAGCAGCAAGAAGCAACTGTGTACCACACAGGATAGCTTGAGTGTAGGAGACCTCAGAGCCCACCCCACACTGAGGCACTTCTTCCAGCAAGGCCACACCTCCTAATAGTGCCACTCCCTATGGGTGCTGTTTTCTGTTAAACTACCACAGAGCTCTTGTCTCAAGAAACCAAAACAAACTGGGCGGTGGTGGCACACGCCTTTAATCCCAGCACTCAGGAGACAGAGGCAGGTGGATCTCTGTGAGTTCAAGACCAGACTTCATAGCTACTGAGAAACCCTGTCTCGAAAAATAAAAAAAAAAGAAAGAAAGAAAGAAACAAACAAACAAAAGCAAGCCAACAAACAAACATAAAAACCAAAACTTCTAGCTGACTGTGTTGGTGGACATTTTTAATCCCAGCACTTGGGAGGCAGAGGCAGGTGGATTTCTGTGAATTCTAGGCCAGCCTGGTTTTACAGGACAGTCTGGTTTCCGGACAGCCAAGGCTACATAGAGAAACCCTGTCTCAAAAAACAAACAAACAAAAAAAGTTAAAAAAAAAAAAAGCCCCTACATTTTTTCTCATGGAAACCAGGTTCTGGCTGGGCTGACTCCGAGGGTGGAGGCACTTGCTGCCAGGCCTGAGACCCCGAGCTCTGACTCCCATGGAGGAGAAAGCAAACCGACTCCTGCATTCTGCCTTCTGATCTCTACATGTGTACCGTCATGGTGTGCACTGCCCCCTTTAATAAAATAAAAAAATGCAATTTTAAAATCCCATGGGTGAACATAATTTCTTTTTCAGTTTTTTGTTTTGTTTTGTTTTTTTGAGACAGAGTTTCTTTGTGTAGCCCTGGCTGTCCTGGAACTCATTCTGTAGACCAGGCTGGCTTCGAACTCACAGAGATCCACCTGCCTCTGCCTCTCAAGTGCTGGGATAAATCCCATGGATAGATATAATTTTTGCCTTCAAATTACAGCATAATGGTCTCCCACTAGAATCCCTTTCCAAACAGAGGTTTGAGTTGCCAGATGTACTTCTAAAACACATAGTTTAAGAAATAAAACACAGTGTTGGGTATATAGCACGGGCCTTTAATCCCAGCACTTGGAGGCAGAGGCAGGTGGATCTCTGCGAGTTCAAGGTCAGCCTGGTCTACATAGCTAGTTCTAGGCTAGCCAGGGCTACATGGAGAGACCCAGTTTCCAAAAACAAAACTAAAAGGGACATAAGATGTGGACCAGGGATGGCTCAGTGGTTAAGGCCTGTGCTGCCAAGTCTGAGGGCCTTAGTTCTGTTCCTGTGACCCATGTGGAGGGAGGAGAGAGCCAATTCCTGGACTCATATGGTAGATACACAACCACAATAAAACTCTCAGAATCTGACAGACATAGTAATAGCCCCTGTGTGATCGTCCCCGTTAGCTGTTCTGTGTCTTGCATTCACACAGTTTGCTTTTTGAGACAGGCTAGTCTCCACTTACTAGGTAGCCAAGGATAACCCTCAACTTCTAATCCTCCTACCTCTGCTCCCTAGTGTTGACATTCCAGGTGTGCAGCACACTGAGTTTATACGGTGCTGGGATTGGAGCCCATGATGTCACGCATGTGGCGGGGGTGGGGTGCATGGATGACGACAACCCACAGCTCTCCCCACTGAGCCACACCCCAGCCCCTGCAGCTGTTTTTCTCTTGCTCACATCTGCCTTCCTAGAGCACACAGGACTGCTTAGTCCTTGTTTATGCAGGCAGCATGTCAGCTGCCTTCTCTGCAGGGGTGCTTTGCCCTCCGCCCTCCCTCTGAGCCTGCCCAGCTACCACAGCTAGAAGGTGCTAATGTTGCCTGCTCACCATTCCAGGTGCTCTTCAGCCAGTTCAGATACTTCTTCAACTTCTACTTCTTGCTTCTGGCCTGCTCCCAGTTTGTCCCCGAGATGAGACTCGGCGCCCTCTATACCTACTGGGTTCCGCTGGTGAGTAGGTCAGCTCAGGTTTGCAGATGGAAAGTTCTTTGTTTCTGTCCCCTGGGCATCTGGGCCTGCACAGTGGCTTTTTAAGGGACGTGGTGCTCTTAAGCCAACATGCTGGGCATCCCACCTTTAGTATTTAGGCTGCAGGTTAGACACCGTCAGGATCCAACTGCAGGAGAGCTAGTTAGGTGCTCCAGACATTCATTCAGCTGCCAACTCCATGGCCCTTGTTTCAGCCAGGAAAACACTTGCTCTTTGTGGTGTGGTTCTAGATTTGAGTGGCAGAGTGAAGACAAACTCTCAGTCTTCACAGATGGTGGTTGGTCTGTGTAACATAAAGGGGCCTGCTTGTTGGGGTTTATGTCCTGCCCAGTTCCCCACAACTGGCAAGCCCCAAAGAAAATCACACAGAGATCTCCATAAGATTATAAACTGATTGGCACATTAGCTCAGGCTACTTATTAGCTCTTGTAGCTTATATTAATCCATTATTCTTATCTGTGTTAGCCACATGACTCGGTACCTTTCTCAGAGGGCAGCTCACAACTTGCCTCTTCAGTGATCTGGGCAGAACTGCGGAGGGAGCTTCCTTCTTCCCAGAATACTCCTGTTCTCATTACTCCACCTGTACTTCCTACTTCCTGTCTGGTCGACCCGCCTATACTTCCTGCCTGGCCAATTAGCGTTTATTTAAAACATGATTGACAGACATGTTGCGGGAGAATACAGACAATTCTCCCGCACCTGGTCTGTCACTTTGCCCCAAGTATGGGAGACTATAATTGGTCTTGGCAGGGCTCACCTCATCCCTTCTCTCGGCAGGGCTTCGTGCTGGCTGTCACCATTATCCGTGAGGCAGTGGAGGAGATCCGATGCTACGTGCGGGACAAGGAGGTGAACTCCCAGGTCTACAGTCGGCTCACATCACGAGGTCAGCCTGGGCAGTGCTGGTAACTTAGCCACTGCTGCAGACAGCTGGGGGAGCAGAGTTGCAGGTCCAGCCTTGGGAAGGTTGCTCAGACGCTAGAGGATAAGTTCTGGCCACAGCCATTGTGCTCTTGAGAGTTGGTCCTGTCGCTTAACTCAGCTGCATCTCACTTACTGACTCACCTTTCCCTTCCCTTTGCCGACTGAGAAGGAGGGATCGTCCCGTTCATGTGATCCTGAGCGGCTTTATTTTTATATTTTTTTATTGTGTATGTGCGTGTTGGTGTGTATAGGGGTGTATGACACGTGCACATGGAGGTCAGGGAGCAGCTTGCAGAAGTCATTTCTCTACTTCCACCCTGTGGGTCTCCGGGATCAGTGTCAGGTTCTTAGGTTTGGTGACAAGTGCCTTTACCTGCTGAGTTACCTCGACGGCCCCAGAACAACTTGTAAAAACATCATTTAGGAGCTGGGGGCATAGGTAAGTCAATAAAGTGCCTGCCTTGCAAGCAGGAGGACCTGAGCTTGACCCCTGAGCCCCTGTGAAAACCCAGGAGTGACGGCATGTGCCATGCTCCCAGCATCGAGGAGGAAGGGACAGGTGGGCTCCGGGCTTACTGACTGCCTGGCCTGGCCGAATAGGTGATCTGGGCCAGTGAGTGACTCTGTCTCAGAATATAAGGTGGAGGCTGGAAAGATGGCCCAGCAGTTAAAAACACTTCCTGCTTTTACATAGGACCCACGTCCAGTTCCCAGGATCTATGTGGTATCTCACAACCACCTGTCACTTTGGTTCCAGGGAGCCGATGCCCTCTCCTGGCCTCCATGGTACTGTATGAACATGTTGTACACATACTTGCAGGCAAACACTCATACACATAAAACCAACCAAATAAATAAATATGGACAGCTCCTGAGCAACAGTACTCAAAACTGTTCTCTAGGCTGCACACACACACACACACACACACACACACACACACACACACACACACAACTTGTCTGGGCTATACATACACACACACACACGAAAATTAATAAATGACAACTTTCAAAGGTCGCATTCAATAGAAACCGCTGTATTACAGTCAAGCATTGCTTCCTAAGATCTTTTCAAAGGCAACAGCTTTATACAAACCCTGAATCTGTGGAGACATTTTTCTGGGGCCATAAACCCTTGATCTGGTAGCATTGCCAAGTTGTTGTCTTTCCTCACTGACTCCCTGCATCACATTTCAAATGAGAGAACTTTAATTTTATTGTATATTTAAATTTTTATTTAGCTTTAAGTTTTATGTGTTTTGGCCTGCATGTATGTCTGTGCATACAGTACTCTTCTGAGCTTGAGGGCCTCCGTGTGGGAGCTGTGGATGAAACCTGGCCCTCTTAGAGTGGCCAGGAGTCTTAACCTCTGAACCACCTCTCCAGTCCCGACTTTATTATAGTTAGAACTGTGCTTTGTTACATGTGTGTGGTCCAAGAACCAGTTGGAGGGGTCTGTGCTCTCCTTCCACCGTGTTGGTGTCAGGACAGAGGTTG